TTAGGAAGGGGTAATTTGCCTTTTTTCATCAACAGCCAGATTTTAGGTTAATGTGATTGCCAGCTAAGAACATGTTTTGAATAAAGAAATTGAGAGCATTGCGTGTGAAAGTTCAGTCTAGATCTGGATGTTTAAACAAATAAATAATGAAGGGTCCTAGGTCAGCCAGGGACTCATGAAGAACATGGGATATTATTAATCAGGAAGGAGCCTTGAAAGGAGAAAAGGACACTGAAAAAGAAGAGATTGTGAAGGGAAACCTTGTGATTTTACATTTAGAAAACCTTCCTGTGGTGAATATTGAAGATAATAGGAACAGAGTGCTTGAAAAATTCATGATCTGAATGTTTTTTCTGTGCTGACAGTCAAAATGGTTCTATACAAAAGATGTCAGGGAAAAACTCTTCATAAAATTCAGACATTTTAAAAACAGAATTTATAAAATTATGCTAGATTTTTTTTTAATTTTACTTTAGGTGTATACTATATCCAGCGTTTCTCCCCATGTTATCCCACCCAACCCCCACTGTCACTCCCCTGCCCTGTCCACAACTGCCCTCAGTGTGTGATGCTCCTCTCCCTGAGTCCACATTTTCTCATTGTTCAACACCCACCTATGAGTGAGAACATGCGGTGTTTGGTTTTCTGTTCTAGTGTCAGTTTGCTGTGAATGATGGCTTCCAGATTCATCCAACTCCCTACAAAGGACACGAACTCATCGTCTTTTATGGCTGTATAGTATTCCACGGTGTATATGTGCCACATTTTCCCTGTCCAGTCTATCATTGATGGGCATTTGGGTTGGTTCCAGGTCTTTGCTATTGTAAACAGGCCTGCAATGAACATAAGTGTGTATGTGTCTTTATAGTAGAATGATTTATACTTCTTTGTGTATTTATCCAGTAATGGGATTGCTGGGCCAAATGGAATTTCTATTTCTAGATCCTTGAGAAATTGCCACACTGTCTTCCACAATGGTTGAACTAATTTACACTCCCACCAACAGTGTAAAAGTGTTCTTATTTCCACAATGGTTGAACCGATTTACACTCCCACCAACAGTGTAAAAGTGTTCCTATTTCACCACATCCTCTCTAGCATCTGTTGTCTCCAGATTTTTTAATGATCACCATTCTAACTGGCGTGAGATGGTATCTCAATGTGGTTTTAATTTGCATTTCTCTAATGACCAGTGATGATGAGCATTTTTTCATATGTTTGTTGGCCTCATATGTGACTTCTTTTGAAAAGTGTCTGTTCATATCCTTCACCCACTTTTGAATGGGGTTTTTTTTTGTTTGTTTTGTTTTTTCTTGTATATCTGATTTAGTTATTTTTAGATTTTGGATAATAGCACTTTGTCAGATGGGGAGATTGCAAAAAAATTTTCCCATTCTGTTGCTTGATGGTTCGCTCTAATGATGGTTTCTTTTGCTGTACAGAAGCTCTGAATTGTAATTAGATCCTATTTGTCTATTTTGGCTTTTGTTGCCATTGCTTTTCGTGTTTTAGTCATGAAGTCCTCGCCTATGCCTGTGTCCTGGATGATTTTGCCTACGTTTTCTTCTAGTGTTTTTATGATGTTAGGTTTTATGTTTAAATCTTTAATCCATCTGGAGTTAATTTTAGTGTTAGGTGACAGGAAGGGGTCCAGTTTCTGCTTTCTGCACATTGCTAGCCAGTTTTCCCAACACCATTTATTAAACATGGAGTCCTTTCCCCTTTGCCTGCTTTTGTGAGGTTTGTCAAAGATCAGATGATTGTAGATGTGTGGTGTTGCCTATGGGGCCTTTGTTCTGTTCCATTGGTCTATATCTCTGTTTTGGTACCAGTACCATGCTGTTTTGATTACTGTAGCCTTGCAGTATAGTTTGAAGTCCAGCAGTTTGATGCCTCCAGCTTTGTTCTTTTTGCTTAGGATTGTCTTGGCTATGCAGGCTCTCTTGTAATTCCATATGAAGTTCAAAGTGGTTTTTTCCAGTTCTGTGGAGGAGGCCATTGGTAGCTTGATGAGGCTAATGTTAAATCTATGAATTACTTTGGGCAGTATGGCCATTTTCACGATATTAATTCTTCCTAACCATGAGCATGGAATGTTTTTCCATCTGTTTGTGTCCTCTCTTATTTCCTTGAGCAGTGGTTTGTAGTTCTCCTTGAAGAGGTCCTTTACATCCTTTGTTAGTTGTATTCCTAGGTATTTTATTCTCTTTGTAGCAATTGTGAATGGCAGTTTGTTCTTGATTTGTCTCTCTTTAAGTCTGTTATTGGTATATATGAATGCCTGTGATTTCTACACATTGATTTTGTATCCTGAGACTTTGCTGAAGTTGCTTATCATTTTGAGATTTTGGGCTGAGACGATGGGGTCTTCTAGATATACAGTCATGTCATCTGCAAATAGAGACAGTTTGACTTCCTCCTTTCCTAAGTGAATACCCTTTATTTCTTTTTCTTGTCTGATTGTTCTGGCTAGAACTTCCAAGAGAGTATTGAGGAGTGGTGAGAGAGGGTATCCTTGTCTAGTGCCCGATTTCAAAGGGAATTCTTCCAGCTTTTGCCTGTTTAGTATGATATTGGCTGTAGGTTTGTCAAAAATGGCTTTTATCATTTTATGATACATTCTGTCAATACCTAGTTTATTTAGCATAAAGGGCTGTTGAATTTTGTTGAAGGCCTTCTCTGCATCTGTTGAGATAATCATGTGGTTTCTGTCTTTGGTTCTGTTTATGTGGTGGATTACATTTACGGATTTGCGTATGTTGAACCAGCCTTGCATCCCCGGGATGAAGCCTACTTGATTGTGATGGATAAGCTTTTGATGTGCTGTTGTAATCGGTTTGCCAGTATTTTATTGAAGATTTTTGCGTCAATGTTCATCATGGGTATTGGCCTGAAGCTTTGTTTTTTAGTTGAGTCTCTGCCTGGTTTTGATATCAGGATGATGTTGGTCTCATAAAATGAGTTAGAGAGGATTCCTTCTTTTTGTAATGTTTGATACAGTTTTAGAAGGAATGGAACAAGCTCCTCTTTATACATCTGGTAGAATTCGGCTGTGAATCTGTGTGGACCTGGACTTTTTTTGGTTGGTAGGCTATTGATTGTTGCCTCTACTTCAGCCCTTGTTATTGGTCTATTCAGGGTTTCAACTTCCTCCTGGTTTAGTCTTGGTAGAGTACAAGTGTCCAGGAATCTATCCATTTCTTGCTTGTTTACTGGTTTATGTGCATAGAGGTGTTTGTTGTAATCTCTGATGGTAGTTTGTATTTTTGTGGAATCTGTGGTGATGTCCCCTTTATCCTTTTTTATTGCATCTATTTGATTCTTTTTTCTTTTTGTTAGTATGGCTGACAGTCTATTTTGTTGATCTTTTCAAAAAATCAGCTCCTTGGTTTATTGATTTTTTTTTTGAAGGGTTTTTTTTTTGTCTCTATCTCCTTCAGTTCTGCTCTGATCTTAGTTATTTCTTGTCATCTGCTAGCTGTTGAGTTTTTTTGATATTCCTCCTCTAGCTCTTTCAATTTTGATGATAGGGTGTCAATTTTAGATCTTTCCTTGTTTCTCATGTGGACATTTATTGCTATAAATTTCCCTCTCGACACTGCTTTGAAGGTGTCCCAGAGATTCTGGTAAGTTGTGTCTTCATTCTGATTGGTTTCGAAGAACATCTTTATTTCTGCCTTCAGTTCATTGTTTATCCAGTTGACACTCAGAAGCAAGTTGTTCAGTTTCCAAGTGTTTGTGTGGGTTTGAGTGTGTTTCTTAATCCTGAGTTCTAGTCTGATTGTGCTGTGGTCTGATAGACTGTTTGTTATGATTTCCATTATTTTGCATTTGCTGAGGAGTGATTTGCTTCCAATGATGTGGTCAATTTTAGAGTAAGTGCAATGTGGTGCTGAGAAAAATGTATCTTCTGTGAATTTGGGGTGGATCATTCTGTATGTGTCTATTTTTTTAAATTTCTTTCTATGCCCTGCTAAGTTAATCTGAACAATACTATTAAACATTTTGTTGTGCATACATACTTTGCAACTTCAGAAACACACTATTTGTTGTAAATTATCATTTATGACACTTAATGGTAGCATTTTAAATCACTCCTGAAAATTAGCTGTCTAGAAATCTGTTGTACGCCTTTATCAAGTAGAGACTGAAAAATGATTTAGTTCTATAAACCTCCTGAAAGAGATGACTTTCTAATTGTTTTTAAGCTCATCAGAGTTAAATAAATATTTTTGAACCCACATTAACAGAAAAGAAAACAGTCTTTACAAAAATAAAGTGAACTACAGATTATAAAATATACATGTTCAAAGAATTTTGAGTGTGAAAATTAAAGTTTTCAACAGGGAGCAAAATTTGTCCCTTAGGAAATATCTGAAGATGTCTAGAGATACTTTTGTTTGTCACAAATCTATCTGTGGAGCATAAAATATTCCAAAAGTGTGTGAGCGCTATTGGAATCCAGTGGGTAGAGGCTAAGATACTGTTCAACATCCTACAGAATACGCCTGTTTAATTTTTTGCCACAGATATTTTCAAATAGCTTAGTTTCCTACGTGTGTTATTTGTGTTTTTCTGAAATCTCAATGTCATAACTTATTACATTTTTTGCCATGTATAATAATGAAAAATTTCTATAGATCAATTTTTTTTGAATTGAGAATACTCGAATATAAAATTTCAGGAAGCATTTACAATACAGCCTATACCTGCCAGAAATTCTGTTTATCAATCAGAAGGACTTGAGATGTATCCAAATACTGGGTTGCGATTTTTTTCTTCTGCCAGTTTAGGTGTTTATAAATTATCTAGGTAGAATAAGAAAGAATTTTGAAGACTTATATTAGTTTCTGCTAGAGTTGCCCAATGAAGTTGGCGACTGGCTGGTGGGGAGGGGATGTGAGTAGATTAGAGTTTTAGTCTGCTACTTGATTATGCATTGAGGGAATTATTTTTGGACACTGCAAGAGAGGTAAATTGTTTGTTCTCTGACTTTTTAGCTAAGAATGAAACCTTGGCATTACCTGCCGAATCTAAAACACCAGAGGTTGAAAAAATCCCAGCACGGCCCACAACAGGTAATGAGATTGCTATGTTGTTGACCTGGAGAAAAGAAAGAATGCTTTTTTTCAAATACTAATCTGCAGCCTTTTTTTTTTTTCAGTAAAGAGCCAGTAGGAAATTCATTTTGATCATAAATGCAAAACAGTAGGAGATTTCATTCTTTAACGTTTGGGAAGACAACAGATGCAAAATGAACTATTGAATCTCGTAATTCATATGTAATACAGAAACTGTATTTTTTACTCTAAATGAAAATTATTAGCTCAACACTGACATATTTTTATATTAAAATATCATACCACAAGTTTGGTGCTTTGCTTTTATATAATAACCATTTTTCATTTCTACACTTTCACAGTTGGTCACTGTAGCAAAATGCCATATATTCTTCACAAATCCATAGCTTAATGTCTATGAAAATACCCTGAAATTATTTAGAATGTCTCTGGGACTTTAACAATGCTAGTGTAGAGAACATAGAATAGTTTGGTAGCAATCCTTTAAAGAATTAATGCAGTAAGTGTTTTCTCCATAGTGTTTCACCATTACTAACAAACATTCAGCATTTCTTCTATGAATGAACTACTCAAGTCCAGTCCACGAGGGAAGCATTAATCTTTGAGCTAGAGTTTTTGCCAGAGTAGTACCACCTTATCCAGGACTTAATGAAACAGACATCTGGCAAGAATTTCCCACAATCTATATTTAGCAAAGTAACTTTAATCTGAAGTGAATTTTTTAGTTCATAAATTCCTATAACTTGCAATATTGATGATATGTACTGATTACTAAACTTTTGGACTTGTAACTGGTCCAGAGATGATAAAAGTTGTTGTGGCGGTAAAATAACTTCAAGAAATCCATTCAAGTAGGAATATGCCTGAGAGAGCAAGATGAATATGGTCCTTTTCTAAAGAAGAGAGATGGACCTTTCATCCCCACCTTCATGGGAGTTGGAGCAGAGGTAGCTACTGGAGTGACATGACCCATTTGGATGAAATTCCTAGATGATTTCTGACTTCAGTATACATGATCAATATCCAGAAAAGCATAGGCATGATCCAGTGAGTGACTCCACGTCCCTTTCTCCCTCAAAGATTCTACCCACTTTATTCTCTTGGCAGCATTTCTCATGGGAGAGTCTACATTTGTTAGTTCTCTGCCAGACCCTCCTCAGAGTGTTCCACTTCAGAAACACTTAGAAAAACACTATGACTTATTATTCAGGGTTATTGTGTTTATTTTGTGTTCTTGCCCTGCAAATCTTCTGGGGGTTTCTGGCTCTCAATTCATTTCAGATCTCAGTGATCTTAGTTCTTACTTCACCAAACCACTTTGCTTGAGCCTCACATTATCTTTAATCTAGCATTTGGGACAAACCTCTGAATGAGCATTTAAATTCTGATCATAATTTCAATTCGTTTTCAAGCTTGGCATGTGTAATGCAGTGCAAGAGAGAAGTCTTATAATGTGATAGCTCTAAGTAACACTTTTAGCCCAGAGTCATCCTTTTATTTGCCCATTTATTCATTTAATAAACTATTATCTTGATTATCTTTCAGATTCTTCAAGAAATGATTTAAAAAATAATAAACTATTATGTGCCTGTTAATGTATCCCAGGTATCGTGCTAAGCCTTGGAGATAAAGAAAAAGGCAGACTTAAAATTATGATTAAGCCGATGAGTGCTTCAGTGGAAGTCAGGTCAGAGTAGTTTTTTGGATAGAAAGCAAACCCAGAAGGAGTTGGAGAGAAGTGTCAGCTTAGGCACTGGAGACAAACCAAGGAGCTCTTTACATAAGCAGCACAAAAAGAAATGGGCTATACAAATATCAGTTACGGATTCTAAAAGGCAACAAAATACGTCTCCTGGTCTGTGGCTGCTTCACTTTATCTTAATTTGTGAAGTTGTGTTTTTTGCCTTTCAGTGACTCCCGAAACAGTTCCACGAACCGCTAAACCCACCGTGCCTAGTGCATTCGATGTTTCAGAAACAACACTGGGTAATCCTGAGAACTTTTCTTCCTTTTAAAAAAAAATGTAACAAAATAACTCCCAGGACTCACAGAAAAGAAACCCGATGCCTTCACTTCTCCCTCCCGACTTAGTCCTTTTCCTTCCTGGCAGTGGTCAGCCTTCCTAGTTCTTGGGCGGATTCCACTGAAGAGTTAACCACATGCCCATGGTGACTGACCCTCTGGACAACTCGGGATGCTAGCCGCTGACTGCACAACCTTTTTAACCAGTCTCTGGGTCATGTAGACAGAATACCAGCCTTTTAACCCCCAAATCTTGGGGGAGGGTGAAGGAAACCTGGAAGTCTTGACTCTGTGCTTTCTGCTCAGATTAGCTTTGGGAAGCCTTGTGCATACTAAACTTACGGAGAATCCTCAAAACCGTCATGCTTTTACATACGAATTTCATGTCACTCATGTTTGTGTTTCTTGGCCTAAGAGAATCTCACTTGCTTTGTTGTTCTCTTCCCCTGAAGAAAAGGAGCACCATGTGTTTTGTTCTGTAATTTGATGTTGACCTTCTCTGCCACACCACAGCCCTTTGAATATATACCTTCACATTTTAACAGCTATGTAACTTTTCCAGGGAAAGTCATTATTTCCACTAAAATTATTGGCTGTTCTTTGTCCAAGAGTCTGTTACAAAGCTTGCTGTGTATGATTATGATTAAGCAACAACATCAAATCTCAAGTCCAGGAGATGCTAACTGTGCTCTTTTTTATCGTAGTTCTCAGCAAAAAGACCCCGGAAACATTGCAAACTATTCGAATACCTCAGTTTGAATTGCCACTGAGCACTCTAGGTAAAAATTAATAAATACTGCAGCTTTATTATTACCTTGGAAATTGTATGTATGCTTCAAAGAAGTCCTTTGAATGAATTATGCTAATTTATACCCAATCCCTTAAAAGTGACACAGTCTTCAAGTTTAAGTTCCCAAAGAGGCCCTCCCTATGACAAATCCTTTGGTTGGCTTGTTTTTCTTTTAAGTGGCCATATTTTAATATTATGTTTGATTCTTTTAATTCAGAATCAGTATGTCACCAAATTTATAATTTCTGTATTTTTTCTAAATGTTTTTACTCTATTGTCTCTTTTGACAGAGAAGATATTTTTATGATATTTCCACAGACTGCTTCTCAGAATTCTTAGCATTTTTCTGAGTGAACTGTGAAAGTAAAATGAGGGCAGGGTGCAGTGGCTCATGCCTGTAATCCCAGCACTTTGCGACGCTGAGGCGGGTGGATTGACTGAGGTCAGGAGTTCGAGACCACCCTGGCCAACATGGTGAAACCCATCTCTCCTAAAAATACAAAAATTAGCCTGGCATGGCGGCACGTGCTTGTAATGCCAGCTATTCAGGAGGCTGAGGCAGGAGAATCGTTTGAACCCAGGAGATGGAGACTGCACTGAGCCGAGATCGCACCATGCACTTCAGTCAGGGTGACAGAGCGAGACTCCATTTCAAAAAGAAAAAGGGAGGAGCTTACATATAAAGCCATGTAGCTACGAAATTGTACTTTTAAAAGCTTTTAGACGGACATTTTCTAATTCAGATTTGTTTGCTTGATTTAAATATAAATGAAATACCTTAAGAACACACATTAAACATAGCTGAAGAAATCAGGAAACTGGTTTAACAAGGGTGGAAGGAAGAGTCCATATACAGTAGCTTAAATTTAGTCACTTAACTATAAAAAATTGAAAAAGAAACTTTATTATGACATTGAAACACAGCTGTAAGAAATACTACTAATGGTCTTTTAACATGATTTGGCTTTTTGTGTTTGCTTTTGTTTTTGCAAGCTTGAGATTTTAAGCATCTTTTCTGTTACTTGCACCTCAGGTCATAACTTTCCTTGTGTGTTTCATTACAGTTCCAAAAAGGCTTCCAGAATTTCCTGAGGCAAAAACACCCTTCCCTTTTGAGAAACCTGGGGACACCTTGGGTAATAAGCGTACCTTAAATTTAATATTAAGGCTGTGTGTGGTGATTGTGTAATTCTGCAGGACACATTTACTGCGTCTTATCTCTGCAAACCTCATGAACTGATAGTTAAGTTAGGCAAACAAGTGGTTGATTTGATTTTTTTTAAATAAGTTCATTGTTTGGATTTTCTGCAAATTCAGTAAAATTCATCAGTCTTAATTCCACATAACCCACTTAGCTGTTTGTCATTAAAAATGTTGACAATCTGACAACCCTGGTCTCTCTCTGACCACTAATCAAATATTCTCTGGATGAATACATACTCATTTCTTACTGATCTATAATGACTTTTTATTGTATTGGTATATGATTTTTTTAATTGCAGGCTTCTGGTAGCCACTTAATCATACCAGCAACCAGTTTCTGTCCCTTTCTCCTCTTAAAAAAAAATCTTCAGCAAATTCCATTTCTTTTCAATATAGCTTCAAGTGAAAAGCCATGGATTGTGCCTACAGCTAAAACATCTGACGATTCCAAAGTTCTGCAGCCTCAAACTGGTAATTAAATCCTTTTTTAAAATATAGATTATAACAAAAATATTGAGTTACACTGTTTTTATTTTTATAGGTTCCTTATTTATCAATATGCTTTGTAATAAACCGAAAACCTGTAATACAGTTGATACTGAGATGAATCTCATTTTTCCCATTACAAAAGTAAAATGGTTTTGAATGTTTTAAAGGCACACATTCTAATTTCTGGATATTATAATATCTTAGAAATGTGGCCAGAACATGAACTGTGAATTGGCTCATTGATAGAGGTCTCTTTAGTGACATCAGAGCAGTACCAAAATAAAAACCATCATCATAGGTCTGATTTAACAGTATGAGTTTCATATTTCCCTGGCAGGGAATATTTGCTTCTTTTTGGCAAAACAATTAAGTAAACATTTAAGAGTTTACTATGTGAAGACAGTATACTAAGTTCTAAAATTGGTAAGTATAGCTTGGTATGTAGGAGAGACCACAGGTCCTTGCAGTTTTAATAGACCTTAGTTCCAGGCCTTGATCTACTAGTTACCATGTGATGGCTACTTTTCTCTACTTTCGGAAGGCATTGGTTTCTTCTTTTGCGATTCTTGTGTTCCACCAAGAACACAAGAAATGGATTGAGATACGTTTCTTTTACAGAAAAGTATTTTTCTCAATTAAAAAGTTCTATACATCTTTTGATGCCTAGCAGTCAACTAAAGAGCGCATTCAGCCTATGAGAATTATAAGACTTCAGAAACCATCTATTATGATTACTTCCACGATTTTTGTGTTTTGTTCGTGTTTTCATTTTTGTGAACCTTCTTGTTGTTTTGACTTTATTTGGGGTACATATCATATAGTGTATAATAAAGCTGGAAGTTTCATGTAAGGAACTTAAATGCAGCAGGATTTTGTGGTGTTCTCGAGTCCAGCCAGGACTGGGCTTGAGAAAGGATGAGCATGAGCCCTCATGGATTTGGTGAAATTATTCTTTCTATAGTGTGTGTAATGGGCTCAGATGCCAGCAAAAATAGATGACAGCAAATAAAGGGCACATGTCTGTTACAGTCGCCCGTACTTTCCTTACATGGGAACACGCTTGAAAGTTGGTCATGGTTGTCAGCTTATCTAGAGAAGCCTCAAGCTGTTCTAGGTCTTGGTTTCCCTAGTCACTGACTCCAAAATTGTAATGAAATTAACTAAAGTGGGTACAAAAACCCCTGTAGCAGTCCAAGTCACCTGGGTCTGAAATCTGGGCCCTGGGTTGAATTTCATACTGAGCCTCTGTTTCATTAGACATCACCCAGGTGCAGCTGCATTGTGATTATGAAGCAACCCCTACTCTGGGGTGTACGTGATGGTTTATCTGCTGCACCGTGACTCCCACATCCTTCGACAGCACCTGAGTCAAACGCCTTTGGGGCTTTTGGGACTAGATAAACTTTTAGATCCCTTTCATCTTTTAGCTTTTGGGTTATAACATGGGGAACACGAGATTCTTTTGGAGTTCCTTAAGCAACATCTAGTGTTTGGCTTCTGTGATGATGTAAGAGCAAACTAGCCAAAACCTCAAGGAAACCATTTCTGAGATGTTAACGCCTGGCATATGAATTATATATAAAGGTTTGAGTTGAACCAAGCATTTGGGGGGTGGGCAGAATATGTCGGGACATGGAGGTTGCAGAGTTACAATGAGGCAAAAGTAGATGATATAGGAAATGCCAATAAAGGACAGTTTTCTTTTGCCTTTAATTCAAAAAAGGAATATTCTGGTTTTGTTCTGATGCAGTGTGAGCAGCAGCTAATGCAGCAGGAAACCGACTCTTTTCAGCTGTTTCACTACTGCCAGGGCAACCATAGGTTGCCAGGGAACTTCCAATGAGAACTCCCAATCCTCTCTAGACAAAGAATTGAGACTTGTCATGAGCTGTAATAACAGTGCAATAGGTGATTACACGTGTTAACGTTAGCCCTAGACACTTCCCAGCCTGCCTTATAACAGTTAATTTTTATGTCTTTGCTACTTAGCATGATCCTCAGTCCAGCAGCGTTTGCATCACCCGGGCAACTTGTTGAAAAGGCAGAACCTGGGCTCCACTCTAGGGTTATTGAACCAAGATCTGCTTTCCAACAAGATGCCCAGGCAATATAAACATTAAAGTTTTGTTTTTGTTTTTGTTTGTTTTTGAGACGGAGTTCACTCTTGTTGCCCAAGCGCAATGGCGCGATCTTGGCTCACCGCAACCTCTGACTGCCTGGTTCAAGCAATTCTCCTGCCTCAGCCTTCCAAGTAGCTGAGATTACAGACAGCTGCCACCATGCCTGGCTAATCTTTGTATTGAACATTAAAGTTGGAGAAACACTACCTTATCAATGTAGTCTATGTTTTTTACATGGTGCTGGTAAGAATCAACAGCTGTAGTTAGTTACAGCACCATAAGCCTCAAATCAATACAAGATTGATTTTTCAGAGTGGATAGTTAAATATCTCTTGTTTCTGCTAATGTGCAAGTCTTCCATTTCTAGTGTAAGTGTTCTGTGGCATCTTCCTAACTTTTGTTAAATTTCAAGTTTAATAACAAATTTATTACCTGTGATTTAAAGAGTGTTATATTTATGTAGACCTTTTATTTCACCCTTTATTTCTTTTGATTTTCTGCAAATTTATGTGTACTAACGTTCTATTTCCCATTATGTTTCAACACATATAATAAGTATTTTATTTTCCAGTTACACAGCTTCCTAAAGCACCTATTTTGAGAACTGAGAAGAGAGACAGGTAGAGATAGTGCTTGAATGGTGGTTCACAAAACCATGAATCCCATTTTTAGTTGCTACATCTTTTGAAGAAACATTATACAGGTTGGTGCAAACATAATTGCGGATTTTGCTATCACTTCTAATGGTTTTATCATTACTTTCAATGGCATCTATTACTTTTAATGGCAAAAACCACAATTACATTTGCACCAACCTAATATTTGTAGCTGATGTTTAATGACATTATTATAGCCAACTGAGCACACTCTGTTTTCTCCGTTTGGGTGTGATGCAGCTATATTTACTGTATCAATTCCTTTCAGCCAAAGACCAACAGAACACACTTATAGTTGAACATATTTACATTTATTTACTTATTATGACAAGGGAGAACACAGACCGTGAGAAACTGGGGATCTCTTAGAAGATGTTAGAGAAAGCTTACTGTAAGATTCTGTCTTGTGTTCAGTGATGGAGAGGAGGGTCCAAGGCAGTAAAGCTTTGCTGTGAATTGGATGCAGGCAGAAATGGGAGTCATTCTGTGATTGAATGTCTTCCTAATTCTTCATTAAAAGGCAAGGCCAGCAGAGGGAAGCTAAAGCTGTGCGTGGTGGGGAAGCTACACCTCCTCGTATTAGCCAGAAGGTGGGGAGGCTAACGTGTGTGCTCAGGGTGATGTTCATGCTTTTGTCTGTGTGCCACGTGATTGTAGACTGGTTCTTTTGTTTTCATCCGTCATGATCACAGAGTTGTCTTGTCTGATATTGGTGTCCTTTAGAATTGTTGGTGTTCAACAGGAGAGCATCACAGCCTACCTGTGGGTACCAGACCAACGCCTGGGTGCCAGGAGCTGCTTTTCTCTTTATCAACCATTAAATTAGATTTATCATATTTTTTGTAAAGTTTATTTTGCTTTACTGTTTTCTGGATTTGTTTTCAACATATTCTGCATCAGAAAATCGGAACGTGTGTGCTCCAAAAGATTTCTGAACCATTCTTAGTTATAAAAGACTCCATGAAAATTCTAACTTGCACACTGAATATTGAAATTCCTAGGTCATTTCATAGTTTTTAGCAACTGTGGGAAAGGATATTTGAAGTTTGGAATATCCCAGGAAATCTGAGATGTGTAGTCATCAAATATATTCTTCCTGCTTTCACCCTATTTGTCCTGATTTTTCACTAGTGCTGCGTTTTGTGATTTCATTATTTGGAATTGCATTTTGTATTAAACCTTCTATAAAGTATGTTTAAGTGGGATTGATTGATTTTGATTCCCTTGACAAATCTAACTTTCCTTAAAACATATAATCAAGAAAATATGTTCTTATAATTATGTATCAGAATATAAAATTATTTATAAATTTTGTATGGAAAGGAAGTTGGCCACCCTTTAGACTACTTAACTGCTTGTGACAATATTTCAGAAAAGTCTTTCCGATGATGCAATAAAATTGGTTTTATGTTTTATTGGAATGTAGCCAGTTAACTGTAATCTCTGTTTTTAAGGAGAAACTCTAGAAAAGATCTCAATATCTTCCAATCAAATGAATTGTGCAAGTGCATGTACATACACATGCTTGTTGGACCATTTCTCCACTGGAATACAGTAATTTGTGTTTGCATAGCAATTTTCTTCTAGGAGATTCAAGGGGCTATTATATACCATCATATTGAGGCTTCCAAAATCCCTAGAAACTGTCATTTTCTTTTATCTTAAAGTAATGCAAGAGGAACTTTGAATGGGTTAGAAGAGGAAAAATTAGGTTCGTTCATTTCTTTCCTAATCTTTTATTCAGTAAACCACTCTGAGTTAAAAGTAAAGCAATGACATGTAGCTTGAAAATTTGAGAACAGCTTTACAACTGAGGAAATTGAGTGTTATTAATGGGGCCATGTGCCTTCCAGATATGGTATATAGGAAATATCACATGATCTGTGAGAGACCAGCCAGTCCCTGAAGCTTATTCTCATTGTGATTGTGATGAGAACTCGGTGAGCTCTAAGGTGAGACAGAGCTAGGTTAATAACCAGCTCTTTATTTTGTTTAGTTTCAATAACTAAACAACTTGTTCCATCTATAAAATGGAAATAAGGTATAAATTTCTCACCAGGTGCTTATGTCTTAAAAGTAATGTATAAATTACTATAATGCACAATATATAAAGGGGTGCCTTGTTTTTATTTCCTTAATACAGTGAAATCTGGCATTGAATGCCACCCCTTCACATCATACTGTTCATCCCAACTTCCTGAATTGC